TTAAAACTTTATCTCTAGGCTTTTATTCAGCACATTGCATAATATGATCATAATCGGCTGGTGAAAAAGGAGAAACGTCACATCTCATGTGTTGTCTGAGCATGGTAACAATATTTTTTTATATCTAATATAATACTCTGAAATAATTTATTAAATAGGATATATAGAAAGTATGTATTATTCTGAAAATATGGGATATACAGAATATATAGGAAGATAATATTCTGGATGTATAGGATATACAGGATAAATAGGATATTTAGAAAGAATATATTATTCTGAATAAACAGATTATGTCTATTATCTCAGAAATTTATTTATGCATTTTTTTTCTAATATATAACCATGCTAATATTATGTCCAATGTGCATACATTGAATGATATAAAAGATAGAAAGGGTGGTTCTTATAAAAAACCTGATCATCGGCTAGGTAGTGCATATGAGCAAGAGCTTGAAAAAAAATTAAGATCCGTTACTGAATTTAACTCTGAGATTAATGATCTCAGTGAAAAGCTAGTAGATAAGTACAATAAGCGAGAAAAAGAGTCTCAGTGAACCTATGCTGATATTAGAAATAAGATTAGCCAGTTAAATACATCCAGCGCTAAAGTTAGATCTCAACTTATTTCTGAACAGAAGTCTCATTCTGAGAGTCAACGTGAGCTTGAAGCCAAATATTCTACCAAAATCCAATTGCTCAAATCTTCTATTAAAACACTAAAAAGAGAGGAAACTTTGGCCCAGAAAGCTTCGTCCGCTGACAAGATCAAGATTCTTTCTCTTGAAACTAAAGTACGTGAATTGGAAGGTAAGTTGGAGGACTTGAAATCAGATCTGACATTTCATGATTTTGATGTAATAAGAGGAATGATAGAAGAGCCAGCCTAAATAAACTTATCTAACCCTAAAGAGATTGATTCTCTCAGGCTTGAATTGGAATGAGTAAAGGAGGATTTAAATTCAAAGAAACACAAAATAGAATGTATAAAAAAAGGAATAGAAGTGTCACATGAGATAACCAGTCGGACAATAGACTCCTTGTCTTCAACACGATTAAAGTTAATGGAGAAAAATTCTCGTCTTTAAGAAATAATCTCAAAGAAAGATAATAAAATAGCAGATCTCTCTGCGAAGCGCCTTAATGGCAATACCCCACCTTCGCCTATGAACGATTCATCGCAAAAGATTTCAGGTTGGGTTAGTAATAATCTAAGACCCTTCGTCTATGAGTATGGTCTTGAAGATAAAGTTATAGAACTCGATAAAAGTTTTGCTAGAGAAAATATATTAGAGGCTTTGTAAGAGCTATTATTCCAGAACGAAATGAGTTTGAGAAGCCAGATGAATATCCTACCCAATCAATCCATTCATAGTCGACCAGCAAATTCTGAAAACTTTATTTCGAGAGAAGGGGTTGCGAAGCAATTGGGTAGCGCAGAACTGATGCTATCACCTCAAGTAATGTCTCTAACACCAGTGACTGTTCCTGCTGTTACGAGTTCTCTAATGTCACCGATGGTGTTATATTCCATACTTGCTTTTCTACTGATTGTGGTTATATGGTTTGTGATCAGGAAATACTGAAATTTATCGAAAAAAAGTAATACTAAGTATTCTCCTAACCAGAACTATTTTTATCCTCTCTGGGCATATCCAAGGCCAGGCTATATGATCAGAGGTCAGAAGTTTGAAGATAGAAATTGAAGTTAACCGGTATTATTGCACGAGAAAAAATATATAAATAATATTATAAGTTTTTTAGTAGAGGTGTGACAATTTCAGCTAAGAGTACTTATCCATATAATTTGATGATCTCGTTTATATCTGTTTCAGACGGATCATCAAAATACCTAGAAAGTTTATTATAAAGTTTTTATATATTTATTAAGCCATTTTTTTTTTGCGCAAGTAGCATAATATAATGTATGAAAATATTAAGTATAAAATTACATGTAAATTTCCCAAATCTTCAAAATAAAAATTTTATATAATTTTGAGCGAATATGCCTGTTAGCAAAATACTGGGTTAGTAGTAGTATCCAAAAGTAGTTGATATGGTAGTACCTAAAAGTAATCAATATAATAATGCCTAAAAATAATTGATGTAGTAGTACTCCAAAGTATCACAGTGTAGAAACCATACGAGAAAGAATTCTAGGAAGGCTCGGGCGAAAACTAGGATATAGATTTGGTAGTACCTCAAGTTAGAATAATATATAGGAAAGAAAATAAGAAATTACAACTTGGGGTACTACTACCGATAGGCAAGAAAGAGATCGGAAAGGCAGAAAGATTCAGGAGAATACACAAAAAAAGGTATGAAAGCAATATAGCCTGAACTAATTAGATACTTCGTGTCTCATCCTCAGCAATCAAAAGGGTCACGAAAGGCAGGATTGTAAGAATGGCACAATATCAGCATTTCGTGTCTCACCTGGCAATCAAAAGTAAGTGAATAGATTGCGGTACATCTTTGGCAAATAGATAGATTGCAAATTCAGCACTTTGTGTCTCATCTGACAATCAAGAGATGGCAATCAAGAAGGAAAATATATAGGCTGATCAATATAATGCAAATTACATCTCTGATCCTCTAACCAACTGACCACCAAATCAGACCCTCGAAAGTTACTTGAAAGTGACGGGAAAGTAATGGGAAAGTGTCTGGAACTGGCGAGGAATTAAAACATGTGATTAATGCAGTAAGACGCAGTAAATTTCGTTAATTTCAGCCAGCACTATTCCATATTTTTTTCCATATTTTTTCCAAAACTTTGAGACGCAATAACTCGGCATCCAGACATCCGATTTATGCGGTCTTAGCATCATTGGAAAGCTCTCAATGCCCTCTTTCAAATGACCATAAAACCGCACGAATCCAATCACAGGGAGCCAAGATATTCCGCCCTAAAGATCAGGTCAAAAATATAGTATAGTGTTAGCCAAAATCTGATTCGCAAATTAACTGCGCCACCCGTCACCTTTTTTACACTATTTCAGTATCTAGAAAGGCAACCAAATAGACGCAAAGGATAAGCACTCCAATATAGAATCCAGCACCCAACCAGGTGCAGGAGGTCAGCATCCTTATCATAAAACTAGATATCTAAACAGCTACAGAGAACCAACAACTCCATTATAGAATTTAGCATGTAAACGACTCAGAAACAAGAAGAAAAGCGTGATATTTAGATTATATAGTGGTAGTTAGGTTAAATGGTGGGTGGTAGTTAGATTATATAGTGATAAAAAATACAGATAGCAAGAAAGATTTAAAAGGATAGCTAGAGTATAAAAAAGATACCTGATACGCGAAAATAAATAGATTATATAGCTATAATTAGATTATATTATTTAGATTATATGGTGATAATTAGATTATATTATTTAGATCATATGGTGGTACTCAGATTATATAGTGATATTTAGATCATATGGTGGTATTCAGATTATATGGTGATATTTAGATCATATAGTGATACCCAGATTATATGATGATAATATAATATAGGGCAAGTGGGACACCACCATGTAATATAATTATATCACATAGTGGTATTCTACTACAGATATCACTCTTACTAACATTGAACTTGTTTACCTTCCACCAAATACTACTGCGCACCTCTAACCTATAGATGCTGGTATAATCCACAGTTTTAAAGCTAAGTACAAGCAAGAGTTCTGTAAATATTTAATTTGTCAGTTTGATTCTGAAGTAGATTATACAATGGTTACATTACTACTTTATTTTATTACTATGTAATTAAATAATATGGTAATAATTTTACACTAATTATATATTATGTTCAGATATAAATTAAACATTAAAGAAGCAATTGATTATATTGCCGAAGTATGGAGTAATATTACTGTAACAATAATTCAGAACTATTGGAAGAAAACAGATATACTTGCAGATACTAATGATATAAATGATGATCATACAGATAATGAAAATGACGATTACATAGAGAATGAAAATGATGAAATAGATAATATAAATATGCAAGAGAAAGAAAAAGTTAAAAATCTTTTTGATATCTTACCAGAAGTTGATGAACTACGAGAATATTTTAAAATGCTTGATAGTGAGATTCTAACTGAAGAACATCTTATAGAGGAGCAAATTATTAATCTAATATTATCTGAAAGAAAAGAAAAAAGTGAAAGTGATGAAAAAAATGATGAAGTAGCTCCTATATTAATTAATAAGGCAGTAGGCGAGTTGCAAATATTTATTAATTACTTTGAATAGCAAAATGATGCTGAATTTAATATTAATGATTTAAATATTTTTTGAAAATATTTATGAGTGGTAAGAGTAAAGGAGTTTAATTCCAAAAAGCAAATCACACTTGATTTTTTTTAAATGATTACATTTTTTTTTTTATAATATAATATATAATATGATATAATTTTAATAATAAAATAGGGGGTTTGTTATACATAAATTTAAATAATATATATGCAGTTTTTTGTGTATGTGTTAATATAAAATAAAAATTATTTAATAAGTTGGGTGGTCAGGAGAATAGTAAAATAAATAATTTGAAGTTTTTTTTTTCGTAAATAATTTTTTACAATAAAAATTAGATGTAATTTATTTTTAAAATATTATATTAAATGACCATTTATCGCACATTATAGAAGGTATTATTGTCTATTCCTTAAATAAATTAATGTTTTAAATTTTTTTACACATATAATCACATGAATTTAAAAATTTATATATGTGTAACTATATAGCAAAAACCTCATCATAAGTACATCTCCCCATAATCATACCATTTTATGATCCCAAGAGGTGTGACTGTAGAGAGACTTGACTGTATATTAATTACGTTGATGTGGTCAAGGTGCTCTATGGTTAATATTTTTTATTTGTATTTCTGTTTGCTGCTGTTCTTTTTATAACTCTTCTATAATTATATAGACTCTAATATGTACTTTGCCAATTAAGTTACTCCATCTATTATGCCATCCTTCAATAATATTTTAAGTTCTAGGATAGTCAAGTTTAACAAGATCATCTACAGACCAGATTTCTGATAGAAATAGTAGGGGTAAATGACAGGTAGATCTATTTCTAAGATTTCTTCTAACTCTTTTGCGTATATAGTTTTGTTTAAAATACTCAATAATACCTGCAGCATTTTTAGGTATTATGTGTTTAATTTGATCAAACACAGCTGGTATTTCTTCAGGTGGCAAAAAAGCAAGTGCCATAATATGATGCAAATTGATGCTGAAATCCTGATTGTTATCATATTCAGTTGCCAGTCCTTCTGCTTGTATTTTTCTCCATAAATTCTGACACAAATGAAAAAAACAACACTTGTGAATAGAATCTGGCAATTCAGATCAGGTTACATTTATCACAGCTTGTTTAAAGTCAGTGATAATTACATTTGGTGATAAATCATAACCAGCTTATTCACCTAAAACTACAATTTTTTCAAATAATCTTTTATACATTTTTTCAGATCTACTTGTCATTAATACATAGATCATTAGAAAAATATGAGAATTTTCATTTCTACCTACTGGTGTATGAATTGAGTATAATTGGTGGAATAATAATAGCACTGTTTTGAATATACCATCTATTAGCCAGTAACTGATCTCATATAGATGTTTGAGATTAGAATTTATGCAAAATATTAGCATTTTTTCATCTTCTAACTCTATTTCCTTTGCTAAAAATTGATTCCTACTTATAGTTCTACGCAAGTAGTCAGGAATATTAATATCTTATAAAGTTTGTGGATTCTTGAGACATATTGGTCATTACATGTTAGATTATTTGCATCAGCTGATTTAATTTATTAGATGCTGCTTTCTTTATATTATTAAGAGTTTAAATCACTTCTGTACAGCTTTTATTGGATGTATGGTTATGATCATTAAATTTTTTTAATACATGCTTCTTATTTTCTAAATCTGTTATTGCTTTTTCTTTGCAATTAAGAACATCTTTAAATTTACAGCACTAATAATATCTTTTATCAATACTCTTATCTTTAACTAATAGGTATTCTCTTGCAATTACAGTCAACGACCAAAATTATGCAAACATTTTTAAAATCAAAAAAATTATATACACATAATATAATAAAAATAAAATTTTAACAAAATAAATTCAAATATATCTTTATTTATTGATTTATAAAAAAATTTAATAATTAATCCTATTTCCAATTGCGCCAATTCGCCATGGCAGCTATCAATCAGTTTTTTAATATTCCAGATGAAAATTTTTCCATGCATCCTTTACATACTTTTCAAGCACTTTAATACTAGATTGGTATTAAAGAACCAGTTTCGCGAAGACGTTTAAGAATAATATAGACATGCATCCTAGTTATTTAGCTATAGTATAACCTGACTGTTCACATTTATAACCATAAGTAATAGCACTACGAGTTTTAGAAGTACTTTCATATTTGACATGAACTTATTTAAAAGAGGAAAAGGTTTGGGGTATTATTTATCGTCATAAGTAAAAAATGATATATTGTTTTAATTATATAATCACGTAATGATCGATCTGCCTAATTTTGATAAATTAAAATATCCGCATAATTTTGATCGTTAACTGTAATTTGGGCTAGCTGCATATTGAATTTACTAGATTACAGACTTCTTGATCCATCTTAAAAAAGAATGGTAAAAATAGAAGGAAAAAAATAAACTTTTTACGAAATGGAATTTTCACTCTTACAAAGAAAAAATTTTTAAAAATTTTTCAATTTAGATCCATCTTAAATAAGAATGGTAAAAATAGAAGGAAAAAAAAATAGATTTTTACAAAATGTAATTTTTACTCTTACAAAGAAAATTTTTTCAATTTACATTGTTTGCTATCTATTATTTTTATGATTAATTAAATCTTATTTTTTTTGATAATCTAATACTGCTTGATTTCTATTTTTTCGATGAAATGTTCTTTTGATGAAACGGATTTAGAGAAGTATCCATTCAGCAAAATGGATTTGGCAAAACATTACTTCGACGAAGCATCCACTTGATGAAATATTCATTCAGCAAAACATCTTTTCAGTGAAAAGTCTATTCGGCAAAATGGACATTTGATAAAGTGGACGTTTGGTGAAATATCCTTTCAGTAAATCAATCAGCTTCGGCGAAATAGGTTTTGATGAAACAGTTTCAGCGAAATGTCTGGATACCATATTATATATATTTATAAAATTAATTTAAAAAATAAATTTAAAAAAAATTTTAATTTTTCATAAAAGTAAATCAGAAAGGAATTTATAGTAAATAAGTAGGTAAATTTATTTGTAAACCTTTATAGTTTAAGGGATAATAAATGTTGAATTGATGTAATTAATTTTGATATCATCAAAATTAATTAGCATCAAATATATATTTAAAACAGTTTTATTAGTTAAAGTTAAAAATAATATTTATAAATTTTTTTAATATTACTATATTCTTCTGAAAATAAGCACCTCTTTTTTGCTATAGGGATGCTTATTTTCAGATACTAAAAAAATTTGCTAAGATAACAATTTAGAAATTATGTCAAATGTTAAAAATGAAGATTCCAAATCTTATGACTGCTAATCATCTTGTTATGCAATACACAGATCTAATAAATTGAGTTGTATATACATACATAAACACATGATGGTCTTTCTTTATTTATCTAAAAATGCTACAAAAAAATGGTCATAACGCAAACAAAAGATTAAGCCACAAAAAAAACAAAAAAAATTGCTAAACGAAAGTAGAAATCATATTCTCTCTCTCAAAAGTTACAGGTTGTAGATTATACAAAGAAGCATGGAAGAAATAATGCTGCTGCATATTTTGAACTTGATACCAGCATGATTGGACATTAAATGAAGTTAAGCACAAACTGGTCAAGTGACATAAGCAAAAATAGTAGACAGGTTGGATCTAACTGAAAAGCTTTCTTTTTAAAAGCTGAAAGAAAGCTGTATAATTGAATAATAGAACAAAGAAAGTAGGCTTTTGCAGTGACTTATGCAACAATACTATATAGAATGCTGAAAATATTGAAAGAACCTGAAATTTTAATTCTTTATAGTAATGCATTAAAGGATTTTAAAATATCTTACCGTTGGCTAGTTGCATTTTTGAAATGATACAAACTGACATTACGAAGACTTACAAAAATATCCTAAAAATTTCCAATTCAAACTCAAGATTCATTAGAAAAGTTTCAGCAATTTGTTATTCGTCTTAGAACAGAAAAATCCTTTGAAATAGGTGAAATTTTTAATATAGATGAGACACCTATTTGGTTTGATATGGCTGGCAATATCACAGTCAATTCAAAAGGTGAAAAAACTGTGCATATTTGAGCAACAGGTAACGAGAAGAATTAGTTTATTGTAATTTTAACATGTGCCGCAGATAAGGACTAATTTATGGAATTTACTGAAAAGAAATGCAAGGAAAATTTTATTGTACTTATAGTTTTTTATTCATTTTTATAGATGGTACTAAATTACCATCTATCTGCATTTTTAAAGGAAAACAGATGTTACGAAAAGAACAAATTCCTTCTAGAGTAGTAGTGTGATTTCAGGAAAGTGCATGGATGAATGCTGATCTGATGAAAAGGTATATGATTTATCTTAATGATGCAAGAACTAACAATATTCTAGTAATGTTAGTATATGATTCATTTAGGGGTCATATTGAAGAATCGGTAAAATTAAAGTTTTGCGAAAATGGATATAATTTGGTAGTCATTTCAGGCAGATTGACTAGCATTTGCCAACCGCTCAATGTTGCGATCAATAAACCATTCAAAGAAAATTTACGAAGAGAATGGCATAAGCTAAATGTTCAAGGATGATGCAAGAACAACTTCTATGGGAAATTTTCGTCAGGCAAAATTAAGTGATGTTTGCATATAGGTCAAATGTTTTTGAGAGGCAATTTCAGACGAAATTATTATCAGGTCCTTTAAAAAAATATAAGATATCAAATTCTTTAAATGGATCTGATGAGAGTGGAGATGATAGCAAAGATAAAAGTGGATATGAGAGTATATACAGTGATTTCCATAATTATTGTTCCACTTCGTTTAAAATTTTCAAATCATAATACCCATGCAATTAAATAATAATAAAATCGAA